GAGGCTTTCTGCTCCCGTAAAGATTTACAGCCTCGGAAACCCTGTGCAGGGTCGCTATGAGTCGGAACCGACTCCTCGGCACATAACAGCAACAATATATATATATATATATATATATAATCACATGTATAACGTGACAAATACTTTGCTAAATCCTTTATATGCATTATCTCATTTAATGCTTATAATAACCCTATGAAATTGATATTATCATCATCTCTATTTTATAGATGAAGAAACTGAGGTTTAGAGCGGTTAACTAATTTGCCCACAGCAAGGAGCAAAACTAGTATTTAAAGCCATATCTAGTGTGAGTCCAGAGCCTGTGTCCATAATCTCTAGACCCAAAATCCTGACCAGAGAATCCTTCTGTTCAGTAATTTAGTCGATGGAGAGGCCTTCTGAGCCCATGCTTACTGTTAGTCCCTACTGTAGTCCAAATTTAGTTCAAAATCTGGCCACCAGGGGGAGCTACCTCTCCTGCAGTTAATGGACACCACGTGAATTGTTAGGGACTTGTGAGAACCGACAGTGCTGTATGGTAAGCACTGGACTGCTGACACACGTCAATTCAAACTTACCAGTCTCTCCGAGGGAGAAAAATGAGGATTTCTGCTCGCTTTATGGGCTGTAATTAACTCAATGGCAGTGAGAGTTTTTGTGAGAGCTTGAGGTTCCTGCCCAGGCATAGAAGCGTGGAAGATGTTCAAAAGAAGCCTGAGCCTTAACTCTGGCTCGATCTTGGCCCCTTTCCTTAGTCTCTTTTCGCCTCTCTCTCTTTTTAGCTTTTTATTGTGAATTTGGATTCCTGGTGTGGCCGTAGGAAAAGCACTCGACCTCAAGGTCAGTGATTCAAACTCACCAGCTGCTCCTCAGAAACCCTGTACCGGGTCCCTATGAGTCGGAACCAACTCGACGGTACTTCACAACAACAACATTGTGAATTGGGTGAAGGTTTACGGAGCAGACCAGTTTTCCCCTCAACAATTCATACACATTTTGTTCTCTCTCATTAATTGCAATCGCCACACTTATCTATCCTACTTCCTCCCTGTGTTTCCTGTTTCCATCTCTCCTTCTTTCCTAACCTTTCTGAACTTGTACTTGGGTAAATGCTGACCCAATGGTTGACAATGCTGTCTCAAATGGTTGATTATTCTAAGATATGCATACTTCCCTGGTGTTATTTTTCTCTTATAGACCTGTCCATTTATTGTTTGTCTGAAACTTGAGCCTTGGGGGTGAGTTACTTTCCAAACCCGAAAGTGAGTAAGGGCCACAGTGTCTGGGGTTCCATCAGTGTCTATTCAACGCTTTTATAATTTTGAGTTTTGTTCCACATTTTTCTCCCATTCTATTTAGGACCTTCTAATGTGATCGCTTTCAAAGTAGTTTGTAGTGGTGGCGGAACACCATCTAGTTCTTTTGGTCCCAAGATCCGTTGGACTAATTGCTTCCGTACACCTGCAATTTTCTTCACTCGTCTTTCCTCCAAACAGGGAGAGCCCAAGAGTTGCACCCTTATGGCCACTCGGGAGTTTTTAAGATCCCAGTCACTAATGGCCAAATTAGGATGCAGAACACTGTCTTTGTGGACTATGTTATACCAATTGACCATGGTGTCCCTCCAGACCATGGTCCTGAGTCCCCAGACCCAACTTATTCATTCCTTCAAGGTGTTTGGTTATAGCTAAGAGGTCTTCTTAAATTTGCCCCGGTGTGCTCCACTACATTCACGGATGTAGTTGCAGCATATGTAAATACTCATGCACAAATATTCTCTGTCAAATCTATATATATTTGCGAGTAGTCTCCCAATATCCTTACCCCCATCCATTCAGCCTGTGTATCTATCCATGTGGTGTTGTTATTATTGTTGTTGTTGTGAAGTGCCCTCGAATCGGTTCTGACTCATAATGACCCTGTATAGGGTTTCAACGGAGCAGCTGGTGAGTTTGAACCACCGACTTTGTGGTTCAAACAGGTCTTGTGGTCCAGTACTTACCCGACAGTGCCACACCAGCACTTCATGGATCTACCCATAAATCACCATTATTGCAAGATTGTGTATATAACAGCATTGATCTCTGTTGCCTTTAACTCTTGCAATGCCCTTGATTTCCCTGCCTCCTGCATTTTTTGCTGATCTCCCTCTTATTGTATGTTACTTTCCCCTTCACCCAAGTCAACATGTGTCTACGCAAAGTTGGTTATTCATGCCCACTAGACTCGTAGTGGGAGAAAGATAAGGCTTTCTGCTTTCACAGGATTTACAGCCTCAGAAACCCTTTGTAGGGTTTCTATGAGTCAGAACCGACTCAACAGTACTTAAAAACAACCCTCTAGCCAGTAACTGATCCTCCTTCACCCTCCCACCCCTGGAAACCATCAAAAATCATTTATGTTAATGTGAAAACCTCTTCTGAGCTTTTTATAACAGTGATCTCATACAATATTTGTACTTTTGTGATTGACTAAGTTCACTCAGCAGAGTGCCCTTTAGAGTTATAAGAGTCCCACCCACTACCCTTCTGGGGTCTTATGAGGCTCAATCAGGATAAAGCATGTGCCTAGCCTAGCAGAGTGCTAGGCTCACTCTGTGTGAGATCTCACTCTCAGTATGAGACCTCAGCAGCTCCTCCCCCTGGACCCAGACTTTCCAGTCAGAGCAAACCACTTCTAGAAAATCCAGTCAGGGGCAACATCCCTGAGGAGTGGGAACAGAAGTCTCTCTTCAGCCTCACCTCTGATAGTCCTATGCCCGCTGCCCAGGTTCTGTGAGAGCCTGCCAATACCAGGCTGAAGGCCCTCAGATGCCCTTCTCTCGGTGACCAGTTTCAGCTGTCCTAGCCATCCTTCCAAACTTCTGACTCATTTCCCTGCAGTCAGAACAGAACCCCTTTTTCCCCACCCTCCCACAGATTTAAGTGCTGTAATCTCCCAAATTCTGGCTCAGCCACAGGTTGTGTAACATTGAGCAGAATCCTTGACTTCTCAGAACCTTCTCTGAGATTTCTCATCTATAAAACAAGGATAAGAGTAGGTAGGTTTTATGGGTACAGATTTAGTGTAAGGATTAAGCGAATATGTATGTGTAAAGTGCCTGGCACTTAGAATGAGCCAAGGATTGTAAATTAAGCGACTTGGGGCAAGATTTTTTTAACCATTCTAAGCCTCAGTTTCCCTAACTGTACCTATCCCTCATGGTTGTTATATGAAAGGAGTGAACACACGTATGGATGCTAGCCAAGTGCAGGTGCTCAATAAGAATTGGGTCGTTTTCAGCGGTTATAGTCCCAGCGTGGTACTATAGGATAAACACTATACTGCAAGTTAGTTTAAACTGCAAAGTCTGCAGTTCAAATGCACCAACCGCTCCTGGGAAACCCTATACAGGGTTACCATGAGCTCAAACCAACTCCACAGCACTTAACAATAATAGCTATTATTCTTCTAGCTACTCAGTTGCCTAAGGTTTTTCAGTGACTAAATATTCAGAAATAGTTCATCTCTCCTTCTTCCTAGACTGTCTTCATTTGGAAGCTCATCTGAAACCTGTCCACCGTGGGTGACCCTGCTGGCATTTAAAATACCCAAGGCATAGCTTTCAGAATCACAGGACCTCACAAGCTACCACAGTACAACAAACTGACAGACAATACCTGCAATATGCAGATGATACAGCCTTGCTTTCTGAAAGTGAAGATGACTTAAATACTTACTGATGAAGATCAAAGACCACAGCCTTCAGTATGGATTGAATCTCTATGTAAAGAAAACAAAAATCCTCACCACTGGACCAGTAAACAACATTTTTATCAATGGAGAAAAGATTGATGTTTTCAAGGATTTCATTCTTCTTGGATCAACCATCAACATTCATGGAAGCAACCGTCAAGAAATCAGACAAGATACTGCATTAGGCAAATCTGCTGCACAAGACCTTTTTAAAGTGTTGAAGAGCAAAGATGTCAGCTTGAGGACTAAGGTGCACCTGATCCAAGCCATGGTATTTTCAATAACCTCATATGCGTGCAAAAGCTGGACAGTGAATAAGGAAGACCATAGAAGAATTGGTGCTTTTGAGTTATGGTGTTGGAGGAGAATATTGAAAGTGCCATGGGCTGCCAAAAAACCCAATAGATCCATTTTGGAAGAAGTACAGCCAGATTGCTCCTTGGGTGCCAGGATGGCTAAATTTCATCTCTCATACTTCAGACATATTGTCAGGAGGGTGCAGTCACTGGAGAAGGATATCATGTTTGGTAGGGTGGAGGGTCAGAGATAAAGAGAAAGGCCCTCAGCAAGATGGATTGGCAAAGTGGCAGCATCAGTGTGCTCAAGCGTGGCAACAATTGTGAGGTTGGCCCAGGACTGGGCAGTGTTTCCTTCTGTTGTGCATAGGATTGCCATGAGTCGGTACCAACTCAATGGCACCTAACAACAACATCTCAGTTGCCTATTCTCCTCTGGACAGGAACAGCCCCCTCTCCCACTTCACTGAGTTGACCACTCCCTAGTCATCAGCCTCCGTTCCCCTCCCCTCAACTACCCCTGTGCCTGTGCAGTTATCTAATGTGTAGACGTTTTGTCTTCTTTCCTCCCTACTCCCTTGTAAACTGGTGGCCTGTGTTCAGTGCTTTGACATATTAGTGGGCTCATGTTGGTTACTGTCCTTTGGCTTACTCTCAGCTGGCAGGGCTTGTAGCACACAGTCCAGGTGGCCTTACTTCATAGCCCAGCTCAAACGCAGCCTCAACCTTAACAGATGTGTTCATTCCCTGTTACTATGGGGAAGGGGGTATGGCAGATAGCAGTGCTGACTTTGGAAATTTTTGAACCCTTGATTGAGTGGCGCTAAAGGACTTTGAGTTTGCTGATACTTGCTCCTGAGTTTGTACACTAGAGTTGAAGTTGCTACAAAAGGTGGATAAATTCATTACAAAATAACTCTTAATGGTGTATTAAAATTTCCCACTATTATTGTAGAGTTGTTTCTTCAATTCTATTAGAATTTGAGTTATATATTTTGAGGCTCTTTCTGTTGGGAGCATAGATATTTATTATGGTTATGATTAGTCAAAACAATGAATTGCAAGCACTTAGCAACAGTGTTTGAGGAAGAGGTCTGGAAGCCATTTCAGGGGAGGAAACTGGGAGAACGGAGATGAAATGTCTACGCACTAAAAATGTCTACCCACTAAACACTGTAAGGGGTTAGGTGGCACTCAGGAAAGCCAGGAGAGTTCATTCTGAGGTAAGAGTTTTAGGGTCTTTAAACCTCTGGGGATTTAGGATTTGTAAGTCTGTACCATATAATGCCTTAAGGACTCAAGCAATTTTTGAGCTAAGAAATGCTGTGAATTTAGGGCCCCAAACCAAGAGTTTAAAATAGAATACTGTTGTTAAAGTGTTGTCAAGTTGGTTCCAACTGGTAGCAATCCTGTATAGGGTTTTCAAGGAGCAGCTGCTAAGTTTGAACTACCAATCTTGAAGTTAGCAGTGCTGTGCTTATCTTACAGTGTCACACCAGGACTCCAAATAGAACACTGAACATGTTCTTCTGAGTTTAAGCTTACTTTGCTAGTCTTTTCTCTAATTGTTGAAGATGTTGTGTTAATGTGTTGATTTTGGTTCTTTCTTCTTTTTGTATGTGTGAATTGACTGCCCTAAATTGCCCTCTCTGAACTGCTTTTGCGTATTCAGTCCTGCTGTGGCACTGCTGGATAATGCACTGGACTGCAAGGTAGGCTTCAACCACAAGGCCAGTGGTTCAAGCTTACCAGCCACTCCTGGAAACCCCATACAGAGTCACTATGAATCAGAACTGACTCTACGGTACTTAACAATGACAAAAGGTTTTGGTATGCTGTGTTTTCGTTCTTATTTGTTTCTAGGAATTTTTTTTTTTTCATTTTTTATTTGTTCTATTACCCAGTAGCGTTTAAGCAGGGTATTATTCAGTTTCCGTGTATTTGATTTTATCTCCTTGATCTTCCTATTGTTGATTTCTAATTTGATATCATTGTGATCTGAGAAGATGGTTTGTAGTGTTTTGATATTGTAAATTTATTGAGGCTTGCTTTGTGGCCTAACACATGGTCTATTCTGGAGACTCTTCCATGTGCACTGGAAAAGAATGTGTATTGTGCTGTTGTTGGATTGGGTGCTCTGTGCAATTCTATGAGGTCAAGTTGGTTGATTGTGTTGTTTAGTTCCTCTATGTCTTTGTCGAGTTTCTTTCTGGTTGTTCTAGCCTTTTTCTAAAGTGGTATATTAAAATCTCCCAATAATATTGTAGAGTTGTTTCTTTCTTCAATTCTATTAGAGTTTGATTTATATATTTTGAGGCTCTTTCATTGGGAGCATAGATATTTATTATGGTTATGTCACCTTGTTCAATTGTCCCTTTAATCATGAGATAATGTACGTCTTTGTCTCTTATGCTGGCTTTTGTCTTAATGTCTATTTTATCCAAGATTAATATTG